CAGCTCAACTCAGCTCAGCTCAGCCCAGCTCAAGCCAGCCCAGCTCAGCCCAGTTCATCCCAGTTCAGCCCAGTTCAACTCAGTTCAACTCAAGTCAGCTCAGCTAAGCCCAGTTCAGCCCAGTTCAACTCAACTCAGTTCAACCCGTATCAGCTCGGCTCAGCCAGCTCAGCCCAGCCCAGCTCAGCCCAGCTGAACCTAGTTCAGCTCACCCTAGCCAGCTCTGCCCAGACTAGCCCAGTGCAGCCCAGCCCAGCCCAGCCCCACCCTCCCACGCAGGCAAGCCCAGCCCAGCCTGGCTCAGCCTAGGAGGGCCCAGACTGCCTGTTTCGCCCTGCTGAGCGCGTCTGGTTTGGCCTCCTCAGTTGAGCCTGGTTTCTCCCGACTCAGCCCAGCCCAGTTCGGCTGCATCCAGTCAAGTCAGGTCAGCCTGGTTCAGGTCAGGCCAGCCCAGCTGAGCTAGCCCAGGGTGGGTGAGCTCCGAGCTCTGCTCAGTTGGACCTGCCTGATTATGCCCATCCATCTAAATTCGCCTAGTCCAGGACAGCTCAGCTCAGCCCCACCTGGCCCCATGGAGGACGGCATTCTCTCTAAGCCCACTTCACCCAGCCCAGCCCACCCCCTTAGCTCAGCCCAGCCCTGCTGGCTTAGTCTGCCCAGCTCGGCCCAGCTCACCTTGGCTCAGGGCAGCCCAGCTCACTTCGGCTCAGTCCACCAGCCGGGCACAGTCCCACACGGCTGAGGACAGCCCCTCTGAACAGCACGGCCCGGTGGAGGCCAGGACGGATCATCTCCCTCCACCAGCTCCAACCGTTCAAGCCACAGTTGGCCCAGCCTGGTCCTGCCTGGCCTGCCCTCATCAGGCCCGCTCAGGCCAGCTCAGCTCAGGCCACAGGCTGCAGGCTCAGGCCAGCCTGCCATGTAGTCCCGCACAGGGACTAACCCCTGCTGTTCTCCCCCAACCTGGGCTGGCGGCCACTGTCCCAGCCGGCTGCAGGCAGGTCCATGCCCAGAGCCCTGTCTGCATCCCGTGTGTGGGCCCTGCCCTGGCTGAGATTCCCAGCCGCTTGCTCTTCTCCAGGCTGGCTTCAGGCAGTGTCTTGCTTCCCTGTGTCCCCATGCAGGGAAGGGACAGCTGAGGGCCAAGCAGTGACCAAGAGGCCTGGTCCACACCAGGGGGGCAGTTAAGGCAGCCTCACCGAGCAGGGGCCTGGGCAGCCCACCCTGGCTGCCACTTGGGCCAACCCCAGTGGCCGGGCTACCTGAGGTGCTGGGTTTTCCGTCAGGTGCCTGTGGCTGGCATGGCCCGTCTGCAGGCTCCCTGGACAGGCTCCCTGATGAGCTGAGTCATTAGAAACGCTGCTGTTATTTTTG